AACTGTATTCCCTATCACTACAACATAGATATCTTTGCATTGCGCACACTTGATACTGTCCTCTTGGAGTCCGCATTAAAGAGCGAACTCTATTTCCTATCACTATAACATAGACATCTCTATAATGCAAACACTCGATACTGTCCTTTTAGAGTTCGTATTAACTACTGGAGAGCTAATTGTATTAATCGTATCACTATAACACAGATATCTCTGCAATGCGCACACTTGATACTGTCCCTTTGGAGTCCGTATTAAAGAGCTAACGGCTGTATGTCTTATCTCCATAGAATAGGCATCTCTTTAAGGCGACCAAGAAGATTCCAAGATTCCAACGAGATTCCTGCATAACTATTGTGGTAACATTTTCAATGCAGACGTTTGAACCCCTTATCTTACAGAACTAACCTCAGGGTCAACCAATTATATACCATTACACCCGAAAAGAGCCAAAATTCTCCAAGATTTCAATCAATCAGACCCAAAAAGAGGTGAAGCCTATAGTTGATTTTCATGAGTACACAGCCAAAGTTATGCGGGAGCTCCGCTTTTAGGCCTAGCTGACATTATGTGTTAACCTATAGATACCAGGGGAACCCAACGACAATTTTCGGAAAAATATCTGTTCGGAAGACGATTTGAGATTTAGAATTTTCGGAACATTTGTTGTAAAATTTCTTGCTTGCCTGCCTCTCCTAGGATTTTCGAACACCTAAAAAATGGTATAATTGCCTATTTTTGACGGATTTTTACCCTATAAAGGTCACCTACAATTTTCAGGAGCCTTTTTTCTGGCTGAAATTTTCGAAAAGGTAAGTTTTGATCCCTATAATTTTCGGATCACTAGACTTTCAGCTAGGAGATCCGAACAGATGAAAAAATTTAGGGGATAAAAATATACCTTTATCTACCGTTTAAATAGTGAAATACGTTTAACACTGCTATGTTTTGTGGTTGAACTATATTCTCGTTGGGTGCCCCTGAGATACACTGTACCCCCAAAAGGTGTATACTATATACTGAAAATCATGATATATTTCACTGAGGCCAGCGATGTCGTTAACCCGATTTTTAAAACACTTAGGCCCCGTCCACACGTATCCGGAGATTTTTGTATCCGCCAATTTTTTTATGCGGATACAAAAATATCTGCGTCCACACGTAGCGTATACGAATTGTATACGACCGTCCACACGTATCCGATTCGTATCCGGACATCTCAAAGGATTAGTCAACAGAGCATGCGCATTACAAAGAAAGCTGAGCCTGTGAATTTTGGCGCCAAATTTGCGGCTTTCTTCCTTTCTTTCTTTCTTGTTTGTTTACTTGAGGTTTCAACACGAGTGAGCTTGAAGAGCGAAAAAAATTCCTGTTAAAAAACACCATAAAAAATGTCTCAATTAAGAGAAAAACAGAAAAAAACCAGCTAGTTGTCTTCCCGCTCTTTTGAGAAGTCTTTGGCGTCTGATTCCTAAATCAGATATGGCTAGAAGCTGCATAATGCTTAGACGTCTTCTCAAGTAGTTAAAATTTAGATTTAACATTGCAACATTTAGTTCGAGACGCGCTATTAGGCTTGAAAGTAGTCCTAGTAGCATTGAACACACAACGTTTCTGCTCGCCGCCATTTTGGAAAATCTCGCGCGGAAAAAGACTGGTTCTGATACTGTGACGTCAGCGTATACAAAAATATACGGATACGAGCGTCCACACGTATCCGGATACACGGCGTATACAGAAATTTCCACTCTGGAGAGCGTATACAGAAATCTCCGGATACACCGAGCGTATACGGCAGACACGTGTGGACGCTAGGTGTATCGGCATAAAAAAATTTGCGGATACACAAATCTCCGGATACGTGTGGACGGGGCCTTATACCGTATATCATATAAGCCTTGCCGACCATGAGTTAGAACTGAAATAGGAAACCAAAAGTACTTTACAAGTATAGGCTGTTGACTTTGGTTCCTGTCCAAATATTTAAAGTCAAAATCAATTTATGACTGACCGATACTCAAGGTCCGGCAGAACGCAGGAGAGCTGAATTAAGTTCTATAACAGTCAATATGACACAACTTACTGCGTCAAAAGCTACTTTTGGTGCTACAAACAGTTAGAAATTTAGTTCGTAATTATTTAGTTACCTCTACTATGAAAGTTGCAGATCCACGTGTTGAATATAACCGCCTCAAGACAAGTTTCTGCTGAGATCACAGCTCCGTGCTGTGGTCGTTTTACCACTTTTAAACATCTCCTGGGCGGTTTTCAGTTACAGCCGTAATGATATGAACGTTATTTTGGTCCAAGAAAACTAAAAACGGTACAAAATTTTTCGTTAGTTCGCCATTTTCTTCCTGAGTTAAACGTGTGAGAAAATTATGAATAATTGAATATTAATCAAAAAACATCTGCAATTTAAATGAATTTCTTAGGCCTTCTTGCTCAAAATGTTATACCTAGGAAATAAATAATTGTTTATAGTAACAGATTCTTTTACCACGACAAAAAGAGTTATTGCAAGAAAAAAATATGTATAGATATATATGTTTATTTTTTCATCCAACTTGGCACATGGATTCTGGATCCAATCGTAAGTGGTATTCCGGACTCCTTGAGCTGTATTCCGGATTCCGAAGCCTAGGATTCAGAATTCCACAAGCAAAATTTTTAAGTCAGCTCTAGGTTTCCGTTTTAGGGAAGTGTCTGCCCTATATAAGAGAGTCAAAGAAAATGGCTGAAGAACGGCAGGAACCAACTTTAGGTGTCCATTTTTGGGAGGTGTCCGCTTTATAGAGAGTCAAAGAAAATGACTGAAGAACGGCAAAGTCCAACTCTAGGTGTCCGTTTTAGGGCAGTGTCCGCCTTATAGATAGACAAAAAAAGTAACTGAAGAACGGCAGGGACCAAATCTAGGTGTCCGTTTTAGAAAGGTTTTCGCCTTAAAGAGAGTCAACAAAAAAAATTATCTGGAGCTGACTGTGTTATTGGAAAGCTATTACTGACCACTTTCAAGAAATACATGCATGAGAAGGGGAGCTGCACTCAACTCGTTTTGCAGCAGCTGCAAAACAAGTTGCACATTTTTGTTGCCCGTTTTACCGTAGCTTGAGATCTTGGCTCTGTTTAGATGATCACGTCAGTCGGGCAAAGATGTTAAGCCGTTGGTCAAGTCAATCAAAGGGGACGTAAGCTGGTAAGAGAACCGACTCTAATGAATTAAATGAGTAGTGGTCGTTTCCCCGGTAGGGTGGTCTACCAGTCATTGTGCACATCATTTATATCGTGGGCTGGGTGGTTCCAGTAAGCTCATAGATAACAGGGTCGACTGTAATGGTGCCGGTCCTGATCCAACATTTCCACTCCTTTTTTTTACGACAATTCCGCTTCCTGGACTTCTGTAATCTCTCTCCCGAATACCGTTTTCTTTCCCAATATCGAATCCCGTGGCAAGATTTTGGCGAATACCATGCCACGTCCAGAGGAGCAGTTAAATCTCGTATCCCGTCAATAAATTCGCGTTTTCCCGAATCCCGCACTATATTTCGGGTCAAATCCCGTATCCCGAAAATACCCTTTTAGATCCTCAGATAAGGGCCAGATAAGGGCTGCCCGGCTGTAGCGCTCTTGAATGTTGACGTCCAAGCTTATTCTCATCCACGATCGACTTTTTATTCATTTATTCAAACTTTCTTGTCGAACAGGTTAGTTTCATTTGGTTTAATAATCTTCTGTGGAAATAACTTAGGGCCTGTTTACATGGAGGTGGGGGACCCCAGGTAGGTGAGATAACCCGCCAAGGTGGGGTAACCCGCCTGCCCATATAATCTCTCATTTTAATTTGATCACGTTTACATGATAGGTGGGGTGACCCGTCACATGTTACCTCACCTATCTGAGGTCCCCAACCTTCATGTAAACAGGCCCTTACTACCGAAACAGGACGCTTAGCTGACGTAAATGATACGTGAAAAAACCTTTGAATCCTTCTTTATAAGTGGAATCTCGGGATAAAGGAAATTGCTTCAATCGCAACGGATCGGGAAAATAACCATACAGGAAGTAAATAAGACACCAAGTAAATAAGGCGAAGCGTTTTTTATTGAAAATTCCGGCCAGTATTTAACTTCTTAAATTTATTACCTGAATTTCCATACAAAACCTTTATGTTCAAGGCCATTTTGAGGATTACATAATAACATGATAAGCTAAACCTCGCTTGCGTTCGATTAAGTTCGGTAATCGAACACAATCAAACCAAAAAAACTTGCGTGAGAGTTTGATTAAGTTCGATTAATAAAGCGTTCAGTTTGGTTCGAGTGCTTACGCGAGGTATAGCCCAGATGTTGCGGAAAGTGCTTGTACTCCTCATAAATCTTTAATTTATTTGCAGTTATAGCCAACTTTGAAGAAAATTATTTCACATATTGTGTACTGTGAGGAGGTTGATAAAATTGTCCAAAAACGTTTATTGGTAGGACCAGAAGATTCCTCAGTCATTCCCAGGCCCAAAAAAGATGACCCCTTATGTCAAAATATTCATTAAAACGTAAAAAAAAAAGGTAAAGGCGCACACGAGCCAAAGGCCCAAAGGGCCGGCACTTATCCCGGTTTCCTTAGCATGAAGCACGCCTATGCCACTTCCTACTGGACAGGATGCTAGTCTATCGCTGGGTTACCCCCAGCATTAGGGAACTTAAGCACCAGACGTTTTCTACGGGGCGACGGCAACCGGAAGTCAAATTTACTTCCGATCCGCGTTTCCCGCCGACAGAGTCGGCCGTCGCGACTCTGCGCCGACTTTGTTTTGCTTATTTTGACGTCGCCTGTAAAACGTGAGTTTTGCTTTTATGATTTTCGTGCTTTTATATCATTTTGCCTGCGATGTTTTGCACTTAGTGATACGTAAAATTTTATTCTGTCGTTTTGGCGATTGTAGGAGCGATTGTCGTGTATTACAGGTCTGTTTTTTTTAACTTTTTAGGCTCTATAGCGTGAAGATGGCTACCAAAAAACAACCTGTAATGGAATGGACAGATGACCATGACATTCTCCTGTTGCGTGAAATGATTGCTACCGAATTTTTTCAGTGCAAGAAAGGCAGTCCAGACCGTGGCAAAATCTGGGAGTCAATCCAGGAAAGATTGAACAAGCTTGATAATCCAAAATTTATGATAAAGGAGAAGACACGGGAAAAATTTCAGATTCCCAAATTGGGAAATTCCTGTAAATTTTCCCAATTTAGGGATAATATTGGGGAAAAATTGGGAACGAAATTACCAAAATTGGGAAAATTTTGGGAAGTTGAACCACTTTTAAGATCACAAAAAAGGGATTTTTTTGGGACAATATAATAATTATATTGTCAAAACTCCATTTTGGGAATATTATGGGAATTTACCCAATTCTGGCGAAAAATTGGGACATGAATTTCCTTCTTTGGGAAAATATTGGACAAAAAAATTGGGAAAATTTTGTCTTGGAGAAAATAGAAAGTACTATTTTGGGAAAATATTGGGAAATCTTAAGAGTTCATTCCACTCGTCCCAATTTTTTTTGGATTTGGGAAAACATTGGGAACAGAGTTGTTAAATGTTTTTGGATTTTCCCAATTCTAGGAAGGAATGGGACATAGCTTTCCTACGGTGGGAAAAGTTTGGGTGAAAAATTGGATCAGGTAAAAGTTACTGTAGAGTTAAATTTTCTATTCCAGTCGCCATCGCCGCGTGTCTTTAAGAAAGAAAGAAAGACGAGTGGCCTTGGGGACGAGAATGCTTGCCCCAGTTCTCTTTCCCCGCATGCGCACAAGAACGGCTCGCTCGATTCAAACTCCCGTTCAGAAGATGGCTTTGTTTCTTGCTTCGTCCTCACAAAATTCAGACTTTGAGCCAAAGAAAACGGATAAAGATGAACGAAAAGAACAATTTGAGGATATAGAGAATCCAAGTGCAGAGGAAATCTTAAAACGAATCAAAGAATGTTGTGGAGAAGCAGTGGGGAAAGCGTTTGAAGGTACGAACGTTGCTTTTATATTTTCGGCGGGAAACGGCCCAGAATGCTACAAACCTTCCAAGTTTCTCTCTTTTTAGTTTTCCTTTACTTTTTGGCGTGCTTTTATTGAACAACAACAATCTGTGGTACTTTGCATTGGCGAAGACTTGAACAATATTAAATCAATATTTCCTAGCAAATGTAAAGTTTACTTGTTTATTCCATGGCCGTCCATTTTGCCTACATACTGAACTTTTGCTAGAAAAAAAGTTTCATGAAGTCGAGAGGTTGAGGTTTAAAGCTTACTTCTCTTTTTCTTTGAATTAAATGTAAAATCTCTGTTATTTTATATACCCGTTCCAAGCACTGACTTGATTGAGAATAAAAAAACTGCCTTGCACGATACATGTTTTGAATATGTAAAACTGGCAGAAGTGCAGGTCATAGCTTTCTAGGTTTTCATCTCAGCTAATATATAAGCTTATGATATATAATACACGAAAAATATGTGTGTATGTTACTGGTACATAACATCCTAAACTGGTCAAAGCCCTGTTTTCTTCCCTTTGGATTATTATTATTTTTTTAACATTGAAGGTTAAAGGTTTTTGATTTGCATTACTGATTTTAAAATTGCAGGACAGTGGCGATATTGGTAGCTTTGGATCAACACTTTCACCAGATAACTCTGAAAACGAAAAAGGAGACCCACCACCTTCCCAGGCTAGTACTGCAGAGGGGGGTAGCAGTATTCAGTTGTCACCAAAACTTTGCAAGATGATTGTGAGATTTATATGTGGAAGTGTTTTGGGTGGAGAGGAGATCTCAAAGCTGCTGAAGAAGAGATTCTCTGTCACACCTAGAAATCTCACGCCCCTCACACTATCTCAACTGTTGGAAGTGGTGTCCAAGAAGCCAGCAAGGCACAAGTATGTGGAAATCCCTGATGAACCTGTTGATCCTAGGCAGCTGAAGATGGCTATGATAAAAGTGAACAAGGAGACTGAAACAAGTTACCTTTCATCACTTTAATAGTGATGTGATGATGTTGATTTTATGACAATTAATGCCTAAAAGGACTGTGTTTTTTTCTGAAAACTTTGAAAGAGTTTATTGTTATAACCTTTCCTCAAGGGTACTGACAGTTTTAACGATGGAAACACCTTACAATTGAAAAAGGTTGTGTTGGGATTCATTAATGTTCTATATTATTTATTATAGCAAGAAGTATTGATGCTTTCCATATTATACTGTAAATTGACACATTCAAATGAGACATTTTGAAATTCTAAGACATGTATACTTACTTATATAAATAAATTCAAATAGTTTATTTGTACAAAATATGCACTATGTTTTTATTTAAACCAAAAATATAGTTAAGTGTATTAAAACTGTTTGAAAAGAAAATGCATTATCTTAGTTGATTTGGACAAAAGCTGTTTGTCTATTCTAGACTTGTTGGGATTTGGATTGGAAATTTCAATCCCAATATTGGGAAAAACCAGG